ACCTTTTTTGGTCTCATTGACTTCCATAGTATATTTTTTTTCCTACTATGGAAGTCAATGAGTCCAGAAACTGTCTGCTTACTGATATTCTTATTTTTCTCATTTAGATGATTCATGATGAACTACATTCCCCATCATTCTCTTTTGCAATGATACAATATAAACATTACATCAAATTAATTTCGATGCATTGCTTCATTTTAACTAGGAAGTCCGACCAAATTACGATATCTGAACTCGGAAGTTGTCGCTTCCTTAAAGTGCCCCTCTTCTACAATAGGTTTACAAGCATCCAATGTCAAAAAACACTTGTCTCATAATATCCATTTCACATCACCCAATTTCTCAAAGAGTCTGAAAATGGTCTATTCAAAGATTCAGTCTCTCTAACTTAGCCCCTCCTTTCCACAAGCCTACTCTGCTCTGATTGGTCAGATGGTCCTATTGTGATTGGCTTAATCTGTTCTGATTGGTCAAATGGCCCAGTCTGTTGTAATTGGTCTACTCTGCTCTGATTGGTCAGATGGTCCTGTTGTGATTGGCTTAATCTGTTCTGATTGGTCAGATGGTCTACTCTGCTCTGATTGGTCAGATGGTCCTGTTGTGATTGGCTTAATCTGTTCTGATTGGTCAGATGGTCCTGTTGTGATTGGTCTACTCTGCTGTGATTGGTCAGATGGCCCAGTCTGTTGTAATTGGTCTACTCTGCTCTGATTGGTCAGAAGGTCCTGTTGTGATTGGTCTACTCTGCTCTGATTGGTCAGATGACCCAGTCTGTTGTGATTGGCTTATTCTGCTGTGATTGGTCAGATGGCCCAGTCTGTTGTAATTGGTCTACCCTGCTCTGATTGGTCAGAAGGTCCTGTTGTGATTGATCTACTCTGCTCTGATTGGTCAGATGACCCAGTCTATTGTGATTGGCTTATTCTGCTCTGATTGGTCAGATGGTCCTGTTGTGATTGGTCTACTCTGCTGTGATTGGTCAGATGGCCCAGTCTGTTGTAATTGGTCTACTCTGCTCTGATTGGTCAGAAGGTCCTGTTGTGATTGATCTACTCTGCTCTGATTGGTCAGATGACCCAGTCTATTGTGATTGGCTTATTCTGCTCTGATTGGTCAGATGAACTGAATGGTAAATTTAGATCATATTTTGGTCAAGTCAAGCCACCTTCATTTATAAAGCTCTTTTAAGTTAACAGTATACGGATTATTTACCGTTATAATAGAAACGATTGTAACAGACTGTTTAAAAGCGGATAAAAGTGAATAAAAGCGTCAGCTAAATGAATAAATGTAAAAGGATAAAGTGATTGTCCAGCTAAAGTTAGTTTTGATTGATTCACTTCCGTTGTGAAGATCATCAGTTATTAACTTAAGAGCCGCTAACAGAAAAACTCTTAACTCTTTACCAATCCAATCAGGTTGAATATACTCACAGAGAATATATTTGTTTTGCACGTGTTAATTTTTTACTCTGCATACATGCATGTGTACAGTATATTTTAATGGCGGTGTTTGTGTACTGATATTGGCCTCTTTGCTGGCAGATGTCTGCAGGTTAAGACTTACTGAGCGGCGGCTCTATTAAGCTCTATTTAAAAGCACCAGTTTTCTGTGTGTGTGCGTGCAGGGGTAAACGGCACATTTTGTAATAAGGCTGGCACTTCAAAAGGACTGTTTGAACCCAGTGGAATGGCCTCGCCTCGCTTCCATTCATAGGCTAACAATATCACCTTTTTGTGCCGAGACGAGGACGGAGCCTGACGGCCCAGACGAGCACAGAGATTTAAGATCAAACAGCTGGAAAATGAAGCCAATGAAGAATAAAGTTGCAGATTGAAATGTACTGAACACATTTAGCTGCACAAGAAATTCGATAGTCAAGCTGAAAAACAAACCAACCAAGATAAATGTGGTAAACATAGAGAGCTTCTAGCAATATGTTTAATATTATTATATTTCCAGAAAGCCAATAATGTTGCATTGAATAAATTTCGCTTCATTATTGAAGAATATTCAGTTTAAACTGGAACACACTCTCAGAAAAAAAGGTACAAAAGCTGTCACTGTGGTGGTACCTTTTCAAAAGGTACACTTTTGTACCTAAAGGGTGCATATTGGTACCTTAATGTACACATTAGCACCTAAAATGTACATATTAACACCTAAAATACATATTAGCACCTAAAATGTACACATTAGCACCTAAAATCTACATAATAGCACCTAAAATTTACATATTAGCACCTAAAATGCACATATAGCACCTATATGTCCATATTAGCACCAAAAATGTACATATTAACACATAAAATGCAAATATTAGCACCTAAAATACACATATTAGCACCTAAATATTAATATTAGCACCTAAAATACATAATAGCACCTAAAATGTACATATTACCACCTAAAATGCACATATAAGCACCTAAATGTCCATATTAGCAACTAAAATGGACAAACGTTTACCTTTTGAAAAGGTACAGCCCCAGTGACAGCTTTTGTACCTTTTTTTCTTAACAGGTAAATGTGCAGCACGTTTTAGCAAAACTTGCCTTTATTACAATTTTGGGTTTTGGATATAGGTTTACGTGCATTTTAACAATTTTAATCAAACATATTTTGTTTCTCTTACAATTAAGTAGTGGTATCATATTATAGTCCTTTGCAATACACATATATAGGCCTATATTTTGAGTTGGTAATGTTTTTCACAAGATTCACAGATTGTTCCAATGCAAATTGTGCAGAAATACACAGATGTCTTGGGCTAGAATTTAGTTACATAGAAGAGACAGATGGTGATGCAGATTTTATATTTACTGCTTATATTCACTTCGACTGAATCGGTTGAAATGCACGAGCACAACACAGATAAATACAGTTTGATGTCATGCATCTCATGCATCATTCCTGTTTAATGCGCTCAGAAACACTTTGAATGGGAAGCCGCAGATTCGAACCTCTCTATTCCAAACCACGATGACACAGTTACTGGAGATTTTCTGATTCTGACTAATTAATCAGGATTAACTACCTAATAGGATTTGTTCGAGATAGCATCTAACAATCAAGATAATATGGAGTAGGTAAAACTGCTGTGTGTAACCTAGATATGAATAACTCCTGAGCTCCAGCGCTGGCTGAAGAGATAACGGCAGATAACTGAACACCAGTGTCAGAGGCTCAGATCCTTCCGTTCTGTCTGAGGTTTAGCTAATTAGCTCTGAAACTCCAGTTAGATATTTTCTCAAAGCTTCCCACTGCTGAAATCACCAAAATGTGAGACTCTTCTAGTCTAAGGCAAGCTCAAAGAGGCCAAATCATTGCATTTTAAAAGGTCATTTGTTTATTGGGTTTAAAGGAGTAGTTCACTTTAAAAAAAAAAACTTTTGCTGATAATTTACTCGCCCCCACGTCATCCAAGATGTCCATGTCTTTCTTTCTTCAGTCGAAAAGAAATTAAGGTTTTTGATGAAAACATTCCATATTTTCTCCATATAATGGACTTCAATGGGGTCCAAACGGTTCAAGGTCCAAATGAGAGTTTCAGTGCAGCTTCAAAGGGCTTTAAACGACACCAGACGATGAATAAGAGTCTTATCAAGGACACTTCGAGTCAAGACTCGAAAAAAGATTTGTTCATTTTGATGAACGAGTTTGAACAGGAGAGTCACGAACGCACATCACAGAACGAGCAAGGCGAGCATTTGAGCTTATAAAACTTAATCTTTTTTATTTATTTTTGAAAAGACCGCTCGTTTTGCTTGATAAGACCCTTATTCATCGTCTGGTGTCGTTTAAAGCCCTTTGAAGCTGCACTGAAACTCTCATTTGGACCTTGAACCGTTTGGACCCCATTGAAGTCCATTATATGGAGAAAATCCTGGAATGTTTTCATCAAAAACCTTAATTTCTTTTCGACTGAAGAAAGAAAGACATGGACATCTTTTAAAAGTGAACTACTCCTTTAATAAACAGCCGATCTCAGAAGATAAGCGGGGCTTGGCTTGATTAGTATTTGCTCAGATGGATGTTCTTGGTCACAATTTATCAAACCCCCCAGAGGTCCAACCGATAACGTCCCGTTCTTTCTTTTTGTCACTTTTTGGAATTCCGTCACATTATAGAATGTTCTAAGAGTTCTAATTACATTTCCTGTCCACTTTTGAGCTATAAACACAGCATTTCCAGCATTTCTAAGAAAGCAGAGTCTAAGTATCGATAATTGAGGTGCTGTCCAGCTGAAAGCATCTATCTTTCATCCGATTCATTATTATGCATTTCATCACTGCTTTGCTGCTTACTTTACAGGCAACAGCAAACAGGCACTCCAGAACACACACATACACACAAAACAGAATCAAATCAAAGGGAGACATCACAGATAGGACATGCGGCTTACAGAGGACACACACACACACACAACGAAACAGACAAAGATAAAAAGAAAAAACAAACAAGGATCAATGACGTGATGCTCAGTTTATTTGTTTTTGTGGCCAGAACTGAGAAACTTATCCAAAAGTGCAAATATAAAAATAATTCATTACAAAATTTCTAAGAATAATCTCATTTAAGTTTGATATTTTTGCCAAAATAAAACATTTCTTAGGTAACTGTCCCAAGATTGCAATAACATGATTATAAGGCTTATTTATAGGGTGATATTCTTGTAAAAAAAAAAAAATCAAACCTTAAAAATACAATAATAAAGCAGATTTAAATTTTAAAAAGTATATTTTTTTAAATATATAAAAAGACATTTTGTTGTCATGCATTTCTGAACATTTTGTCTCAGTTCCATCTTCTATTTGTCATTGACTCGTACATGGAAATACAACACACACAAAACGATGTGAACTTACATGGAACTATTCTTACAAAGAAAAGTCCAAGACAACGAAGAACACATGACTACACACAGCCACACACACATCATAGTGTTTTACGTGAACACACACACACACACCGGCAGCAGTCTGCCCGTCTCTCACCTTTCTTGGGTGGACAGGTGGTGTTGACCACTGGAGAAAAACGCACACAACACATGACTTTAGAAAACATCATCATGCAACATTCATCTACACCAGCGCTGTCCAATCCTGCTCCTGGAGGGCCACAGTCCTGCATAACTCAGCTCCGAACACAGTTAATCTCAGATCCTCAAGGGCTGCGTCCAAAATCCCCATTACCGACACTCATAGTTCACTAGAGGGAGTGAATGAAAATGAGCGATTGAACTGCTTGCTATTTAATAATCAATTGAAGCTTAGTACTATGTATAAACAATATCTTTTAGGTCAAACCGTTGTTGCCTGTCAGTCATATAATGGAGGTCTATGGTCACCACCTCAAAGAGCATGCACAGAGAAGTCCAAATTAAACATGATTTCATGACTCGTAAATGTAAGTACACATTGATGGCCTAAGACACGAAACGAGCGAGTATTTATATTGTTTTTACCTCTTGTGACCACAGCCACGTCCAAGTGAATCTGAGGGTGCGGGCGCTTTGTGGCTGTGGTTAAGAGGTAAAACGATATAAATACTCGCTCGTTTCGTGTCTTAGGCCATCAATGTGTACTTACATTTACGAGTCATTAAATCATGTTTAATTTGGACTTCTCTGTGCATGCTCTTTGAGGTGGTGACCATAGACCTCCATTATATGACTGACAGACAAGAACGGTTTGACCTAAACATATCAAAAACAATGCCCTTGAGGTAAGATAAAACACACCAAAAATTAATTTCAAAGTGAACTATCCCTTTAATATATATATATTTTTTTGTAATTTAGGGTTTTAATTTTTGAGAAAGGATATAGAATATGTTGCAATAAAAGAAAGAAAATGTATTCAACTACTATTACCCCTCTAACCTCCCCCCTTTAATTGAACAATTTAATAATTAATTAAAAAGGAATTTATACCTGTATATTATTATTACGCTCTAACCACATTGGACCAGAGGTTTCAGTACTTTCACAGTGCATTATGGGTATTCTCTAGCCGTAGAGATTGTACACTTGTCATCGCGGTGCATTATGGGATTGAATGAGTGGACTTGAAAATGTCCACGATGGTTTCCTACACCAATACAAATGTCTGTTCCCTCAAATAGTGCCCTGATTAAGGGTATAGGGGGTGATTTAGGACACAGCCCAGGTCTCATAGGGATACTAGAAACTTCCAGGTCGGAGCTGAACTCGGCAGGACAGTGGCCCTCCAGGAGCACGTTTGGACACCCCTGCTCGACACGCACCAATCAAAAGACAAAACAATTATAATGGAAATAAAGACACACATTACTGTGAAATCATAAGTGTTTGTGTAGGGCTGAAATGACTAACACCAATTCCCCCAATATACATCTGAATGACAAGGTCATGACCTGTGAAATTTTTATAATGCATGTAAATTAAAAAATATATGCAAACATCAACACATTTTAAACAGACATGTGCAAATAAAAGATAAAGACACTTGCATGCTGAATAAAATATGAAACAATAGTAACATCAACCATTTTAAAAGGACTGAGTAATACAGTGTGTGTTCAGTTTATCTTACGAATGTCAACAATAACTGTACCAGTTAAGTGTATTTGCATTATAATTTTCAACAACATAAATATTAGTATGCTTGCATGAGCTCGCTGAAAAAAAAAAGAGTGCTGCAGATGATTTATGCATATTAATGCACATATTAATGATCACACATCTGTATTAATCATTAAATACAAACGACAGGGGGAGAAATGTCTTCAATCTCATGAGAGAAGGAACCAATCAGGTAGTAATCAGCAAGTAGTTTGAATTAATTGACTTCTACACATTTAAAAACACAAAAATTGAGACGAATGATGAGATAAACGAATTGGTGAATTGGTGTGTTATAGTTAACTAAATCTAAAAGCATTAAAATAGTTTTTTGGTATTTGAAATAAAGTTGAAAAAATATATAAATATATTCGATGAAAAGCGTAAAAAAGACGCTATACGCTTATAGTTGAAGAACTAAAATGATTAAAAATAGACTAAAGCTGAAATAAAAAATAAATGAAAGCTAAATCGAAATATAAAAAAACAAATAAACGTGACAAAATCGCATACAATTGCTAAAACATATTTTTTTCCCGCCTTGTCTGAAAAAAGTTTAAAATACGAAGTACTAAAATGACTAAAACTGAAAATATTATTAAATAGAAGTATAAAACAAATTCACTCTAAAAAATGCTGGGTTGTTTTAACCCAACTTTGGGTCAAATATGGACAAACCCAACTGTTGGATTAAAAATGCAATTAATAAATGTAACCCAATGGCTGAGTTTGCCCATATTTGACCCAAAATAGAAGTATAAAACAACTACACTCTAAAAATGCTGGGTTGTTTTAACCCAACTTTGGGTCAAATATGGACAAACCCAACTGTTGGATTAAAAATGCAATTAATAAATGTAACCCAATGGCTGAGTTTGCCCATATTTGACCCAAAATAGAAGCATAAATCAACTACACTCTAAAAAATGCTGGGTTGTTTTAACCCAACTTTGGGTCAAATATGGACAAACCCAAATGTTGGATTAAAAAATGCAATTAATAAATGTAACCCAATGGCTGAGTTTGCCCATATTTGACCCAAAATAGAAGTATAAATCAACTACACTCTAAAAAATGCTGGGTTGTTTTAACCCAACTTTGGGTCAAATATGGACAAACCCAACTGTTGGATTAAAAATGTAATTAATAAATGTAACCCAATGGCTGAGTTTGCCCATATTTGACCCAAAATAGAAGTATAAATCAACTACACTCTAAAAAATACTGGGTTGTTTTAACCCAACTTTGGGTCAAATATGGACAAACCCAACTGTTGGATTAAAAAATGTAATTAATAAATGTAACCCAATGGCTGAGTTTGCCCATATTTGACCCAAAATAGAAGTATAAATCAACTACACTCTAAAAAATGCTGGGTTGTTTTAACCCAACTTTGGGTCAAATATGGACAAACCCAACTGTTGGATTAAAAATGCAATTAATAAATGTAACCCAATGGCTGAGTTTGCCCATATTTGACCCAAAATAGAAGTATAAAACAACTACACTCTAAAAAATGCTGGGTTGTTTTAACCCAACTTTGGGTCAAATATGGACAAACCCAAATGTTGGATTAAAAAATGCAATTAATAAATGTAACCCAATGGCTGAGTTTGCCCATATTTGACCCAAAATAGAAGCATAAATCAACTACACTCTAAAAAATGCTGGGTTGTTTTAACCCGATTTTGTGTCAAATATGGACAAACCCAACTGTTGGATTAAAAAAAGCAATTAATAAATGTAACCCAATGGCTGAGTTTGCCCATATTTGACCCAAAATAGAAGTATAAAACAACTACACTCTAAAAAATACTGGGTTGTTTTAACCCGATTTTGTGTCAAATATGGACAAACCCAACTGTTGGATTAAAAAAAGCAATTAATAAATGTAACCCAACGGCTGGGTTTGCCCATATTTGACCCAAAATTGGGTTAAAACAATTTTTTAGAGTGTAAAAACTAATAAACATGACAAAAGCACAAAGAAATACTAAAATTTAAATAATTGAAATACTGCGTTGGAATGATTGGTGGAAATGAACTAGTAGGACGTGTTTGCATGGTCCTTAAATAACTAATTAGTCTTTTTTTTTTCATTTCCCAAAATTATTGTGATATTTGCAAAACATTGGTTATATCACCCAGCTTAACAGACTTTCAAGAGTGCACCGAGTTGAAGTTCCCGGAGTGCTTTATCTCAGACATATCACTCAGCTCTAGTACACACTTCAGATCGTCCGTCCTCCTGCAGTCTGGCCGGACCGTTCACAATATTCACTAGAGTCTTTGAGGTAATCAAGCGGCTCTCAGACGCTGGGCTTATCTCCACAGTCCTGGTCTCATTCTCTCATTCTCTCAGCAGCAGCAGGTAATGATAAAGGGAGCTGTCGCCGCTGTGTGTGTGTGTGTGTGTGAATGAACTCGAGTGCTCACGTTAAACTGAGCCGCTACCTCCTGCCAATACCTGAAGCCTCTTTTAAGGCAGATGTATTGTTTCAGAGTCAGAGACAGTGACGAGGTCTGTCTTTGTGAAGTGTGTTTAGCCTAAGCGACTGCCAGCACACGACACACACACTATAAACCTGCCATCCTTTCTCAAAACGCCGCCCGAAGCGTGTCATTTCTGTGCTACTAGTCAGATGGTGGAGCAAGGAAAGGACATCAGTCGTGGAGAAGTGTGTTATTACTGTTCCAGACGAGCAGATTTACGGGTTTCAACTGGTGAACGATAAAACAGGTCAAAATAATCACACACACACACACACACACACACACACTGAAGGAGGGAAACAAGACATACAGGAGAAGATCAGAGACTCTTCTGAGACATACAGACACACACACACTCACTCACTCACTCAAACACTCACTCACTCACTCACACACACACTCACTCACTCACTCACTCACTCACACACACACTCTCTCACTCACACACTCACTCACTCACTCAAACACTCACTCACTCACTCTCTCACTCACACACTCACACACACACACACACACTCACTCACTCACTCACTCACACACACACTCTCTCACTCACACACTCACACACACACACACACACACACTCACTCACTCTCTCACTCACTCACACACACACACACACACTTCCTCGCTCCACCATACATTCTATTTGCGTCACATCTAGTGACAAATGGTCAGGGCATTAACTTGTTGAATCTGGAAAGCCGGAGCGATCCATCAGAATAATCCTGAAACTCAAACACTCAGAGCAGCGGAGGATTGTATAAATCTTCCAGAGTCGAGCAACAGACACAAACAAAGAGAGAGAGTGTGTGTTTACCTTCGACAGCATACATCACAGGTGAACTCATGCACACACACACACACACACACACGAAATCCTGCGGGAGTTTGGCGTTCTCGTCCCGAGAGGAACGGCTCATCGCGGCT